AGCTAAAGTCCTCTTATTTCCTACCCAACTCCCACAGATAGCTAATGAATTTGGTGTTATCCTTCCTGTTATTTTTAGTTTAGCTTACTTATACATATATTTAGTATTTTATATTGCTTTGTGTGTATTTTAATTTACACAAATGGTTTCATAGGACGCATATTGTTCTGCATCTTACTTTTATCACCATTGTTTTTTAAATCTATCCACGTTGATATGTACGAGTATATAAGAGCTATTTCATTCCTGTTAAGCTGCACAGTATGCCATTCTGTGAACCTTTTAAACCACATTTTATATGTCCATTTCTCTAGGGACGGTCATTTAGATTATTCCTTTTTTTTAAATTACAAATCACCACACTTTGGTTAAAAAAAAAAATCTTTGCATGTGTCTCTTCCGGCATCTATGCCCAAGTTTCTCTAAGAAATTTACCCAGAAGTCAAATGTGTTTGATTGTTAGTCACAGGGCAGAAACAGGCATACCTGTGACCCAGTTCTCCCTCTGGTACTTACTCCCTGTGTGACCTTGGGAAAGTCATTGCACCTCTCTGAATCTGTTTTCTTACCTGTAAAATGGGTATGTGATAATCCCTAAGTCACTGGGTTGTGAGAGAATTGAGACTTATTTCTGAAAAGCACCTGGAATCGTGCAAATTGTAGGAGTCCAGTAGCTCTCATCATCCATGCTACAGGTTTTTCTAGCAACCAAAGTAGGATTTAAAGACAATGCCCAACCTTTTGCACAAGGGACCCTGGGCCCAGCACACCAATGTGTTGGGGGCTTGCCCACCCCCCCTTACCACATCATGTCAACTCTTTCCCCTGCTAGCCTGGTGTCAGCTCGGTAAATAATAAAGCAAGTGTACCCCCTCCGTATCTCAGTTTCCTCACCTGTAAAATGCGGTAATAGCACCTGCCCTGAATGTCTGTCGTGAGACTTAAAAGCTAATGCATGCAGAGCATTTGTTAAAATTGTCTGCCCTTTCCAGCTCACCCTGACACTTTCTCTCTCAAAGCTGTGAAATGATCTGAGGTTCCGTGGTACCGGCAGGGTGAACTGGACTATGTCCGTAATTTGATTTTGGTCTCACATCCCTTGCATTTTATGTTGCTGGTGCTGCAAATAAATACGCGGAGGCTTTGCGAGGATCCTCTGTTTGTTTTTCTCGCCGGCAAGCCGTGTCCACGAGAAGCTGGGTGGTTTAAATTTGCTAAAATATCTCCATCTAGTGGACTCGCTGAGACACTTCAGGGTTCGGCCCTGTCTGGGAAAAACAATGAGGTGACAGCTGGGGCTGCCCTGCCCTGCTCAGAAACGCCGGTGGCTCCCCATTGTCTAGCGGGTAAAGTCCAAAGGCCAAGCCTGGAATTCGAGCGCCTGCACAATCAGGCCCCGCCCAGCCCATAGGCCCTTATCGTCAGCTTCGACCTCCGGTCCCCGCCAGACCCAGCTCCTCCCCGCTCTTCGGAACCTGAAAGCCCACACCTGCCTGGCACGTGGACCAGTCCTGTGCGGCAGACCCCACCTCCCTTCTTTCCACTCTCACGAGGCTAAACCTCCTCCTAGGCTCAGCTTAAAGGCCACCTCTTCCTGGAAGCCTCCTGGGCTCTTCAACCCATCTCCATCTTCCGTGACTTCCCACCCACACTTGCTGTCCGTCATTTTTGTAGTCCCATATTTAAAGCTGTTTTGTCAATGCACAGCCCTCCCATATCTAGCCTGATGGGTTAAAATAAAAGCAAGCTCCTAGTCCCCCGGATTTGGATCCTCATCTGGCCTCCACTACTTCCTAGCTCTGAGAACTTGGGTGAGGGAAGGAACCCCAACTGAAATAGAGGTGAGGACACCTATCTCACAGGGCTGTGGTGAGAATTAAATAAGATAGAATGCAAAGTCGGCACATATTAATACCCAATAAATTGTCCTTAGGGTGGTCAGATAAAATACGTTGAACTTGAATTCCAGAGAAACAATTTTGGTTTTAGTATAAGTATGTCCCAAATAGTACATGGAGGTTCTTTGTAACATTTCACAAATAAATGCTATTATTGTTCATTTTGTTAGATGTGCTAATATTAGGAATATATATATATATATATATATATATATATATATATATATTCGATTCTCATTATTGATGGATTCTGCATTTGCAAATTCACCTACTGGCTAAATTTTATTTGTAATGCCAAAGTCAATACAGTGCTTGGTCATTTGCAGACATGCACATGCAAACAGTAGAGAAAAATTTGTATCTCCCAATATGCATGCTCTCAGCTGAAGTCAAGAGGTGTATACGCTTTCTCATTTTCAGCTCTCATACCACAAACAAGTGTGCTTTTTCCAGTCTCTTTAGTGCTATATTTTTCTCATTTTTGAGCTTTCTGTTGGTGATTTTGCTGTTTAAAATGGACCCCAAGCAGAGTGCTGAAGTGCCCTCTCGTATTCCTAAGCCAAGAAGGATTTGATGTGTCTTACAGAGAAAATAAATACATGTGTTAGACGAGCTTCGTTCAGATGTGAGTTATAGTGCTGTTGGCCATGAGTTCAATGTTAATGAATCAATAGTAGATATTAAATAAAGTGTCTTTAAACAGAAACACACATAAAACCAGGTTATATATTGATGGGTCGATGAAAATGTTGTGGGCAGAGACTGGCAGGAACCTAACCCTACATTTCCCCTGGGAGCAATAGTTCAGTATTCACTAATTCAGAGTTCACGGTGACACTATAGAACTACTGGAATAATGAGAATCAAATATAGGTATGTATGTAATAAAATTTAAAGATTAGATGTACACACTGAAATATTCTGAGTTAAATTATATGATGTCTGGGGTCACTTTAAAATACTCCAGGAGTGGGATAAAAGTGTGTATATGGAGAGTGTAAAAGAAACAAGATATAAAGGCAGGAGATTGTGGAAGTGATGATGTATTAAGTAATTCTCTCTTTTTTGTATATGTTTGCAAATGACCATAACAAAAGGTTTAAAATATACATTGAGGAGAAAGTCTTGGGGGGAGACTATCTTATTCAGTAACTTCCACTCTGGACCCTCTGTGGGGACAAGGCCCCAGGTGACAGCTACCTGAGAGTCCATTATGGGGGAATCCCAAACCCCTGAGTGTGGAGCAGGAGGAGGTTCAGGAGACTGGCTCTCATCTCAGCACCCGCCTCAGACTGGTCAGCTACCCCAGTGCCTCCGAACCTTTTTTCTTATCAGTTAAAATATGAAGTTGAGCTGGACAACCTCTGAGTTCTCTTTCATTGTTAAATCCCTCTAGTTCTAAAACCAGTATTTCCTAAATTGGCATGTTCCAGTGCAATATTATAGCCTCCTTCCCCCCACCCCCACCCCAGACACCCCACCCCCACCCTCGCCCAACTCTCCCTTCCCTGCCCAGTCCATTCTGATACCTCTTCTGTGCATCTTGCTGAAGTTCTCCCTTTTTGGCAACATTAACAGAAAGCTATTCTGATTTTGGTTTATCTAAAGTCTGAACTCTTCAGCTGAGCAGTTAAGGACTATGGTGTCTTGAGCTCTTTCTACCAAGAACTCATAGTCTAGTTAAGAAAGACCAGGAAATAGAGAACACAGAGGAAAGTCACCAAGCTGGTCTAGGGAAGCAAAAGGAAGTCTCCCGGACGAAGAGATATCTGAACTGAGATCTAAAGAGTGACCAGGAATTACTGCTGCAAAGAGAGTAGGGAAGGATGTTCCAGGCAGAGGTAACAGCAAATTCCAAAGCCTGGAGACAAGAGAAAATTGGGAAAGGTCCAGATTTCAAAGCCCTTCACATCTAGCCCCCCCCCTTCCCTGTTATCCACCTTCCCCAACTGCCTAGCATGTGTTGGTATGTGCCCTGGGGACCATGGGATTCATATGTAGGAAGGTATATATTGGACTTCCTACCAGGCCTCCTTTAAAATAACCAAGTCAGGAGAAACTTTTACACTTCCCAACACACTTTTGCTCATCCTTCATAATCCTGACGACCCATTATTCAGTAGAGGGAACTGAGGCTCAGAAACGTTAAGTCACTCACTCAAGATCACACTGCCAGTGAGGGAGATTCAAATACAGGTCTGACTCCTGGTCTGTTGTCCTTTTCACTGCACAGGGCAGCCAGTGCACAGTGGCTTTGGGTCAGGTGTCTGTGAAAGGATGCTTCCTTACACCCTGCATGCTGCAGCTTATACGTATGCATTGAGTAAGCTGAAATCAGCGTCAGGGCTGAGCTCAGCAGACTCTTTTCCTCAGGGCCAGGGTCGTGTAATCAAGTCTGGTAGCCTCAAGAGTTCCATACCCCCATGGGTGAGGACTCTGGGTTAAATCTCGGCTCCTAGCTATGTGACATTGGACGAGTAATTTCGAATCTCATCTGTAAAATGGGTCGTGAGGGATTGTTGTGAAGATTAAACGAGAACAGCAACTGTGCAGGGGGACTGTCCGTATAATACCCGGGAGACCAGGAAAGAGAATGTGCCGCCTCCCCCAGATACTCTGCGAGGGTCGCGCTGTACCGAGAAAAGAGCTAAGCGCAGGCGCGCTCCGCAAAGACCTGACGGGCTCGCCCTCGGGCTCTGCGGCTGCGCATTCGTCCGGCTTTGCGACCGCACTGCTTGACGGCAGGGGTGTCCGCCCCCCTGGCCGGCGTTGTCGGGGTAACGGCGAGCGCGTGCGGCCGAAAAGGTAAGATTCCTGGACTTCGGAGCGCGCGGCGTGTCTCGGAGTTGAGCGCTGTAGGCAGGGACGAGGTTCCGTCAGTCACAGAAGGAGACGTAGCCTTCTCTGAAAGCTCTCCGGGGCGAGAGTGAAAAGGACTGTCTCCGGGTTGCACAGCCGGACTAGACTGAGGCCGGGACGAGGAGCTAGGCTGTCTAGTGCTGCCAGAATTAACTCCTCTCACCCTTCTGTGTGCACCTGTAGCCCTTCGTACTTCTCTTTCTTCGTTCTTTCTGGAAACATTGACGCCATTTCCAGGTCTGCGGACGCTGAGGTGCATCCAACACCGTCTCTGCCCGAGAAGAGCCTTAACCGCTAGTGGGGCTGCTGGAGGGTGGAGGGCACTCAAGGAAACCAGCAAAGGGATAAGTTAAGACAGTTAAATTTGTTGAGCCCTTAACACTTTTTGGCTTGTGTGCCATCATTTATTGCACTTGCAGCTACCGCCTGGTTAGCACCTCCCCCTGGTAGGCCCTGTACTGGGCATCTTTCGTACAATTACCCATTTAATTCTCACAACAGCCTTCAAAGGTTTATCGTTTGTTTATGTCTTAGTCTCAGGTTCTAACTTGAAAGATCCCCAGAGGCAGGATTGTTTGCCTTCTCCCTTTTATCCCTGCCTCCCCTAGCCCAGGAGGTAAGCAGTTAGAGTTTCTAACATTGCTTTAATTGGGAGAAGGTGAACTTGATGAGTGGGCGGTATTAACCAGGCCTGTTGGGCAAGGCTGACCCAGGGAACTGGAAAACTAAATGTAGCTTACCTTCCCCGCTTTGTGTTTTGCTTTGTTTTGTTTGGAATAAACAACTGAGCACCTAAAAGGTGTTGTCTGCTCAAGGAAAGAATAAAGAGCAAGCCCTGGTTTTGATAGAAAAGTAGATATGCTTAATGAACACTGCCGTTGTCTGGAGCCAGGAATGCCCGGGGTTGGGAAAGGAAGTAACAACCTCTTACAGGTACGTAACACTCAGTCCCTCTGAGTCCCTTTCCTTGTTTGTACAGTGGGAATAGCAATCATACTTACCTCAGAGGGGCATTGGGAGTAAGTGTATGAATAGGCCACCCTCTCACCAGTGGTTGGCAACTTCGGCTACATGTTGAAATAGCCTGGGTCCCACCCAGATTTTCTGATGTAATTGCAGGTAAGGCCTGGACATTAGGAGTTTTAAATTTTACCCAGGTGATTCTAAGGACAGCCACGCTTGAGAGCCATTGTTATATGCCGCCCCGGGTTAATTTTCTTAATCTCTTTTCAGTTGTCATAACCTGCACTGGCTCTAAGTCTAAACCAGCCTTCACATCCCAAACCCCCTGACAACTGACATACTCCTTCCTATACATTTCTGTGTGCTTCAGACATAGGTCTTTTAGGCCAGTCTTCTCACCATGCCCTGTCTCCCTACCTTACTAACCTCTTATCCTCCCTCACAGTGAGGCTTTGGGCAAATGACCTGCCCCATCTAAGCCTCCGTTTCCTTGTCTGTGAAATGAGGATAGTACCCACCTCCCACCTGTGTAACATACAGCACAGTCAGTGCCTACATCGAATGTTGTACCTACCCATAATGGATACCTCTTCTAATCTTACATTCCACATCTTGCATCATGCTGTTCTCCTATCATGGCACTAAAGAATTTTTATTTTTTTAAGATTTTATTGGGGAATTGGAACAGTGTTGGGGAATTGGGGAAGGGGAACAGCCAAGTTGTCCTTCAGTCTTAGTTGAGGAGGGCGCAGATAGCTCAGCTCCAAGTCCAGTCACCATCCAGCCACCCATTGGCGGCTTGCAGCCACTCAGCTCAAGGTGCTGTGTTCAATCTTAGTTGCAGTGGGGGTGCAGCCCACCATGCCAAGAGGAAGTTGAACCGGAAACCTTGTTGTTAGGAGCATGTGTTCTCACCAGCTGAGCCTTCCTGCCACCTGTTGGCAGCTCAGCTCGGGCACAGCTCACTGGCCCATGTGGGAATCGAACCGGCAACCCTGTTGCTTAGAGCTCACACTCTTAACCAACGGAGCCACTTGACCGGCCCCAAGAAATATTTCTTAAATGTCTGTTGCAGTTTTGGAGAGTAGTGAATTCAGTCCTTCCTCCCCTGCTTTGCCTTCTAAGTTCAGCACAAGACAGCTCTCCCACAAAACCGTGAAACTAGAGATCATCTGGTCTGTCCTAGTGAATCAAATAACAGCTTTATTGAGAGATCATTCACATACCATAAAATTCACCCTTGTGAAATGTACAAGTCAGTGGTTTTAGTATAGTCACAGAGTTATGCAACCATCACCATCACTGCAGTTAAACATTTTCATCACCTTGAAAATAAACCCCATACCTATTCAGTCACTCCCCATCTCTCCCTTCCCCCCAGCACCTGGAAGTCACTAACCTACTTTGTGTCTCTATGGATTTGCCTATTCTGGACATTTCATATAAATGGTCTTCTAAAATATGTGGTCTTTTGTGACTGACTTCTTTCACTTAACATAATGCTTTCAAGATTCATGCACATTGTAGCATGTTTCAGCACTTCCATTTTTTTATTATTGCTGATAATATTCTATTGTACAGATATACCACATTTTGTTGATGCATCTTGATGGAAATTTGGGTTGTTTCCTTTTTTTAGCTATTATGAATAATACTGCTGTAAACATTCATATGCATATTTTTGCATGAACATGTTTTCAGTTTTTTGTATCTATACCTAGGAATGGAATTGCTGGATTATATGGTTGCTCTGTGGTTAACATTTGAGTAACTTCCAGACTGTTTTCCAGTCCTGTTCAATTTGAAGATCAAGAAACTGAACTCAGAGAACTTAAGTGGGTTGTGACAACTTTACATATGTGGAAGGCCTCCTATGATCCACATTCTTGATGTGCATTCTGTCGCATGGGCAGAAGTGACACTAGATCTCAGATTTTGAGATTTTGTGAAAAACAGTGTTTTGTGGCAGGAACCCCCCTATCACACATGCTTAGGTTGGAGTACAGAGTTCTTGCCATCAAGAATCATAGCTTAATCTTGATCTTTTTAGAGTAAAACAGCAATCTGAAAGCAAAAATACTAAACAAACTAGGCAAATTAAAATATACCTTTTCATTTTTGCTTGTTTGAGAGAATTTAATTGGAAGTTCTAGAAGTTAGCCCTATTAAACATTTTCTCTTTTTTTTAAATTCCAAAGGTAATATATAAAAGTCAAATACTAACCAGAATTTAAGTTATAAAAGTGAAAATCTCATAAAAGTCTGAATCGTTCCTGGAAATCTCTAGAAAGTTCCTCATTGGAGATCAACTTCCTGCCTCAAAAAAGCCAAAACAGCATTGTTTGAGTTTTAGAATAAATTGCTGTTTCTTCCGTTGAACACCAAATGCAATAGTTGGCTTGGATTGAAGAATAAATCAGCAAGTGAAAATCTAGTTAAAATGCTCTTGGAAGAAAAATATCTTAATTGCGGCATACATGGTTTTGTTATGAATGCTATACAGCAGTGTGTGTGTATAAAATGTGTACAATCATGCTCAGTATGTGATTCCATTGGGGAATCTTAGAAATTAAATTATTCTAGTGTTTTGCTGTTTGGAATACTTTGGCAATTCTGTGAAGTTTCCAACTTGCTGATTCTTATTTTTCATACTTACCTTTGTAACTGATGTATCAATTTCTCGAACTCTTCCTTGGCTATGTTTTTCTTCATCCTCAGTTCCTCAACCTCTTTGAGAGGATGGGTAAATATATCACACATTGGACAAAGCTTTTAATTTATTTTGAATTGTCTGACCTTCCTTCCTCAGCTTTGGCCATCTTCATTGGTTGTGTCAGGCTTGATTGCATCCATCGCTGAGTGGGATGCTGGTATTGAGTGCAGGAGGCACCTAAATAATCAGTCCTACTTTTTTCCTTTTGAGGTCTTGGAGCCACATAGGTTACACATGTGTGTGCTGTGGCTCCACTGTATCTCCAAGCACCAGATTAGGCTCTCAGTTTAAATCAAGCCCAGAGCCCGGGGTGAAGGAGGTGCAGATTCAAGTCTCCCGTCTCATTCCAGGGCATCCATCTGCTTGTCGCTGGGAGTGGCTGACCCAATCTCTTGCACTGTTTACATTTTTTCCTAAGTTAAATGCATCTACTGTGGCTCTATGTCTTTATCGCACAATACACTCAACTTGACTTCCTTCCTGTAGCCATTATTGAATTGCAGCCTGTTGTGAGTTAGAGGCTGAGTGTAAGGTCTGGAAGGGAGAGGTACTGACTTCAGCTTCCTTTACTCTCGGGTAGTGCTGGGTGCACAGTAAGTAGTTCCACAGTTCTCTGTAACTTGACATTTAGCAGACCTGGGAGTGTCCAGTGTCCCTACTTTCTGGAGACTTTCACAAGATCTCCCAAACCTGAATCTATTTCCTCATCTGTATAAGGGTGTTGGGAGTGCTTACCCCATAATAATAATTACAGCAAATACATGCATAGTACTCGGCGTGTGCTAGGTACTCTTCTAAGCAGTATATGGGTCTTAACTATAAGAGAGTCTATTTTTACCCTTATTTTGCACATGAGGAAACCAAAGCACGGAGAGATTAACTTTTGCCCACAGTCACACAGCTAAGGAAGTGATGAAACTGATTCCTATCCTGGCACCTGGCTTTAGAGATCCTACTCTTAGCCACTCACATTTGGAGAACTGCTGCTGTCATTGTTATTATAATTTATCAATTTACCTTAAAAATTGGAAGATGATTGACATAATGTTTGGAATGTATTTTAAGGTCCTTTTTTAAGGAAAATGAAGTACTCACTAGATTTCATTCTTGGAGGGCAGGGTCTCTCTTGGTTTTATCTTTGTATCCCCAGCACCTCTGATTATTAGGAGCCCCTGGTAGGTGCTCAGTAAATGTCTGTTGGCTGAGTAAAAGAATGGAAGTAATCCTAATAGGCAGAAATCCTGTTGTGCTTGCCATCAGGAGACTTGGCATAGCATTGTGACTTTGGGCATGTCACTAGGCCTCAACCTTATCAGCATAATTAGAAGTAATGCCACTGACTTCTTGGGTGTTGTTATGAGAATTAATTGAGATATTTGAGGTGAATGAGATTTACACTGCTCTCAAAATTATTCTCATTACCCTCATTTAGTTCACTGCTTTATAACTATTCTATTTTCCCCACAGACGACAAAGTTTTCTGAGCCTAGGTATAAATGTACTCGCATTTTTGATCAGTGTAGTTATTGACTGTCTGTTTCTTTCTCTTCATTATATTCTTTAAAGAACAGTTATGCTTGAGAAATGGCAGAAGCAGTTTTCCGTGCCCCCAAGAGGAAAAGAAGAGTGTATGAGAATTATGAGTCTCCATTTCCGATCTCCTTTGGTCCAAACTGTGGTCCTAAGAAATACTTCAAAATATTCCGCGCTGAAATGATAAACAACAATGTAATTGTAAGGAATGCAGAAGATATTGAGCAGCTGTACGGGAAAGTAAGTACGGGTGGCCTTGGCATGCTTCCTGGCAGCCCTGAGCCAGCTATCCTTCCTCCCTCTACCCGCCAAAAACAAACCATACATGATCCCCATTCTCTCCTTGCTGTTTGGGCCCATGTAGGAACACTACAATTCCACTCAGGTGCTCCATAGCCATATATCATGAGGATAACTCCCCCACCCTGAACCCACATTTCAGCAATGAAGTAGGGTCAGTACATCGACTTTCTTGTCTTTCAATTATAAAAACAATGTATGTTCATTTTTTTTAAAAAATCAAGCAATTTACAGAAATTAAATTAATGGGTAAAAAGTAAAACTTCCCCACTTATTCCTGTTCCATCCCAGAGGTAACCACAGAGTGGCATATTGTTCTGACTCATGGACACATCAAATGGGGCTCCAGCATGTACTCTGGCTCCTTATCTGCTCTCTCTCCTCGTTGGGGACCTCCCCTTAGAAGAGGACAAGTTCTAGTTTTTGCTTTTTCCATCAGTAATGGGTTTAGGCTGAGATTCGTAGCTTGCTTTCTTTCTCCCCACCCATAGCCAATTCATCACTGAGGGCATTTTTTAAATAGCTTTATTGAGGTATAATTTACAGCCATAAAGTTCACCTATTGTAAGTGAACAATTCAATGATTGTAGTAAATTCGTAGAGTTGTGCAACCACTGCCACAATCCCGTTTTAGAACATTCCCGTCAGCACAAAAAGTTCCCTCATGCCTATTGCACTTAATCCCTGCTTCTACTCCCAGCCTGAGGAACCCACCGGCCTACTTGTTGTCTCAATAATGTGCCTTTTCTAGATGTTTGATATAAAACATATCGATTGTAGCCACCTTCCCAAAGTGGGGTACACTGGGTGGCATTGACCCTGGTGAGACTGGGGTCTAGGCCGAGGGCAGTCTCTCTCCACGTTTGCAGTATGTAACATTAAGCGAAAGGCTGTGTAAAGCACTGCACACATTTATTCTAATTGTTAAGTCTAGGCTTACGGTAAAGGGTATTCACTTTATTACTCTCTCAAATTTCTGTGGGCTTAAATATTTTATAATTTTAAGAAATGGGGGGTGGGAGGGAATCTGTTGTTTTTAGAATCAGCTGGAAGGAGAATAATGTGTCCATTCTAGGTACAAAAGAATCCAAGAGCTTTTTGTACATGGGAGACTTGGCTCTTGTTTGAGGCACACTGCTCCTGACCCAAATGTGAAGAAGAACCCTGCCTCTGCCCACCCCGTAGCCTTCAGCTTAGCATACCTGGACTGAAATCAGTAGTTATGAGGCAAACGAGGTGCACTCAAAACTTACTAGTACTCTTCAAATATTCATAGAGAGAAAATGCTAAGATTCTCATTAGTAATCGTTAGGCAATCAGAGGAAGATGTAAAGCTGTGATAAGTGGAATAAATCTCTTATTAACTCAAATAGTTATTCTTCTTCAACTAGGAAATTGATAACTAAAGGTGAACTAACTTTATTTTTCTCTGTTCCCGGAAGGGTTATTTTGGAAAAGGTATCCTGTCTAGAAGCCGTCCAAACTTCACAGTCTCAGATCCTAAGCTGGTTGCCAAATGGAAAGGTAAACTTGGGCATCATTCAGTTCTTTGGGAAAGTTATTATTTTCTTCTTACTTTTGGCCTTCCACCTCAAAGTATATAGTAAAATTCTGTTATATAGAGGAGACGTAGCATGCACACTGATAATTTCACTGCTAAAAATATTAACTAGAATAATTCTAATCAAGGTGAAAGCGTTCTTATAATTGGTGAAAATGTGTTTTGTCTAATTTCTGGAATTATCAAAAGTGTTATTCAGGCTTTTCTGTTAAGCATTGCCCATACATACTGGGTATGTTGAACAGGTAATTAAGTACCTGTTCACCTGCATGCAAAATGAGTTTTATTTCTAGATTAGAATTTACAACAATAACCATGACATCGGTGGATTTGTTAAAATAATACTAATGTGTGTAGTTCTCACTTGCTGGTCCTCTTTAATTTATAAATCTTTTATCTTAGTGTATTTCTCTAAGGAATTCTCATGGTAATTACATAATCAATACCAGCAGGTTTAAACACAATTAGAAAGGATTTTTTAAAAACATTTTATTGTAAGAAAAAATACAAATTAGAACTGTACGGAGATATCACTTCAGCAATCAGATTTGCAAAAAATCCCGAAGTTTGACCATTGGAAAGGCCCTGAGAAATACCCTCATGCATTGCTGGCGGGAGTGCAAGTGATGCAACTGTTACAGGGGGGAGTTTAGCAATGTCTAGCAAAATTATATATATATTTACCTTACCCCTTCCTCCCCCGCCACCATCTTCCTCTCCTTTAACTACCGGTAAGCTTAATATGCTTTCTTCATCTATGAATTTGCCCATTCTAGATATTTCATGTAAGTGAAATCATACAGTATAGACTTTTGTGTCTTTTACTTAGGATAACACTTTCAAGTTTCATCCATGTCAGAATTTCATCCTGACTAATATTTCATTGTATGGCGATACCATGTTTTGTGTATCTATTCATCCAAAGATGGACATTTGGGTCATTTCCCCTTTTTGGCTGTTATGAATAATGCTGTTATGAACACTCATGTACACATTTTTGTGTGGACATACTATGTTTTCATTTCTCTTGGGTATATATACCTAGGAGTGGATTTACTAGATCATATGATAATTCTTTTTTAATTTTTTGAGGAACTGCCAAAATGTTTTTCAAAACACCTGCACTATTTTATATTCCCACCAGCAATGCATAGGGGTTCCAATTTCTCTACATCCTCTCCTACATTTGTTATTTTCTGTTTTTGTTTTTGGTGATAGCCATCCTAATGAGTGTGAAATGGTAAGTTTTTAATTTTCATGAAGTCCAATTTCTCTATTTTTTTCTTTTGTTGCATGTGCTTTTGGAATTCATATTTAGGAAACCATTGCCAAATCCAAGTTCTGACAGATTTTCCCTGTTTTCTTCTAAGAGTTTTAAGAGTTTCAGCTGTTAAATTTAGGTCTTTGATCCAGTTTGAGTAAATTTTTATATATGATGCAAAGTAAGGGTCCAGCTTCATTATTTTGCCTATGGATATCCAGTTGCCCCAGTACATGCATTTACTTTTAACCCAGCAATTCCACTTCTAGGGATTTATCTTAAACATACAATGGCAAAAATATGAAAAGAAATATCACAAGGCTGTTCATAGCCACAAAAGGGAATCTATTTTGAGTGACTTTAAAATGTGGTAATTTGAATATTCAATCCTAATGGGATAAATAGACTTTGTGCCAGTTATCTCGTGCCGCAGTGTTGTTTACCAAACTACCCCAAATTTCAGTGGCTTTCAGTAGCAACCTTATTCCTCACAAGTCTGTAGGTTTGCTGGGTTGGTCTGCTGATCTTGGCTGAATGTGCTTATCCATCTGGTAAGTTATGGGTCAGCTGGCTGCTCCAATGGATCAAGTCCAGTAATGGATCTTGCTGGACTCACTAGCATCTGGTTGTCTGTTGGTCAGCTGGTCTAGGATGGCCTCAACTGGAATGAGGGGCAGGAGGCACCATGTGTGTCACCCTCCAGCAGGCTAGCGTAGGCATGTTGTTATGGTTATAGTGGAAGGTGAAGAGCAAGCCACAATGTATCAGTGCTTTTCAGGCCTCTGATTGCATCGTGTTTGCTAACATCCCATTGGCCCAGAGTCAGAGGGCTTGGCAAATGGAAGACCTGAAGAATTGGGGCAATCAACTTGCCATATAGAAAGATCTACAAATTAATCTTTACATTGTTTTCAGCAATTATTTTATGGGTGGTAGTGTTGTTACTGTTATGCTGAGACTATAAAGCAAATGACTAATTATGTTGGAGTGGTTGAGAGCAGCCAGGAGTTTTTACGTGAAACATCTTGTACCAGGAAGCAAGGAAGCTATCAAAAACTACTAGGTTTGTTTCAAAAGAGGCTTCCACTGGCCATGGAAACATTTGAGCATTGGTAAGAATAAGGCCATAATTTATTTTAAAATCCATTCATAATAATACCTCAAAAATGCTTAAATCCTTTAGTTCTTACTGATACATTGCCAGAAGAAATTCATTACTCACCTATGGAGCATTCATCATTTTGAAAACCAGTAAACCTGCACTGGTTCTCTGGGTAACCAAATAGTAAGGGATTTCTCTTTATAGCAAAATCCCGCTAATGAACAAGGAAGGAATAATAGGATTAGAATATCACCATTTTACAACCTCTACTGAATTATTAGATCTAGGCATTGATCAACAATGGTGCTGATGACATAAAAAGAGCCAACAGGACATTGTGTGTCTTCTAAAAGAAACATGTGGCATCACCTTTGAAGTAGGTTTGCCAAAAAATTGAGCCTGAATCTGATCAAGCCTCTAGTTTCACCAATTCACAGGAGACACAGGACAGGGGAACTTGTTAAGCCAGTGCTGCTCAGAGTACTGAAGTGAAGCAAGATAAGACCTTTGCACCAGAATGGAAATGGATTCCATTCCATTTAGCTGCAGCTATTTAACTATTTACCTGCAGCCTCCTTCTCTGTGAAAATCTGGCTGTGAAAACAAGGCGAGCGGAACTAAGCAGTGTGCTGAGTGAGATAGTTATTTAAAGGTTAGCACAAGCCCTTCATCTCTTCTTGAACCAGCAGGCCCGTGACCGCCTTTGAGTGGCACTGTGTTAATAGCATCTGAAGGGATGCAATCTGAGGCCAGATTGGGGGAAGTTTTACAAGGACAGAGGACCCATTTCTTCAACAAATGAATTTCAGAGGAAAAAGTCATGGCAGGGAAACCTATACATTAGAATCAACTTAAGATACATCAATCAATTGCAATGGATGGGCCAGATTTTGAGTCAAACTTTCCATAAAAGGAAAAATGCATAGATTTTGGATAATGCTAAGGAATTAATATTAATTTTTAAGTGTGATAATGATATTGTGGTTACGTTTTTTTGAAAAGAGCCCTTATAGAAATACATACTGAACTATTTTGAGATGAAATGATATGATATAAAGGACCTGTTTCCAAGTAATCTGGGGATCAGGAGCAAGATGAAGCAAGACTGGCCATGAGTTAATTGCTAAAGCTGGGAAATGGGAACATGGGGATTTATTATACTATTCTCTCTACTTTTGTATATTTTAAATTTTATTCATAGTAACTTTTAAAAAGAGAGAAAAAAGAGCAAATAGCATAATGACCCTGCCTATACCCATCACCCAGCTTTGGCAGGTACTAATATTTGGCCAACAAAAAAAAAATAGAAAGTTTTCAAATAGTGTAATAATCTTAACAGTTGAGAATCTTTTCCTGATCTATGTAGTAACTAAGTTTTAAATGACGATAGAAATTTGAAGGAAATGAATTTATGCCAAGGAAACAAATTAAGGTCGTAGGCTGCCCTACAGAAGTAAATCTCAATTGTTCACTTTAGGAGGTTCTGTAAAAACTGGCTTCAGCCTCATCTTTCACCCTCCCTTCTACCCACTCTCTTGTTGGCACTGGCCCCCTGGGGCTGCTTGCCATTCCATGAACCTGCAAGGAGCATTTGTTGTCTCAGGCTTTGTGCAGTGCTTTCCTCTTCCTATCCCTCCCTCCCCCGCCCCCGCTCTAGTCCACCCGGTGAACTCTTAATCAGCGCTCAGCTCAATTATTCTTCCTCCTTTGTGTTTTTTCCTAACCCTTCCAGGTAAAGTTAACCTGTCCCTTTATAACACTTTACTTGATCACGTATCAGCTTGGGTTAGAATCAGTCATTTCTGCTCAGTCTCCCCAGCTAGACTGTGAGCATCTCAGGAAAGGGGATTTGCCTTATCCTGGATCTCTAGCGTTTGGCACACGGAAGGTTGTCAGTAAAACTTGCTAAATTGTTGTTTGTTGTTAAATTACTAGAGGAGGGAGGTCATGACACTGAGAAAACCGACAAATTCCTGATGAAGTAGAAGTCTGTGAACTCACTTTCATAGGGTTTTAAAGCTGAACCTCATCTATTTCAAACCTTTAATGCACTGTGGAAGAGACCGAGTTTGGGAAAGGAGAAATAACTTGCCCCAAGGATGAGTCAGGGAGGACCAGGACTAAAATCCACGCTGTTAGGTGACCCGACAAACATTTTAGGTGGGAAGAGTCTTCCAGCCAGATGCCAGACCTAGAAGTAGAGACCAGAACTCCCAAACCCACACCCAAAACTAACAGCACTATGAAATTTACTTTAACAGCCCTTGCTATCAATACAGCTTTCACTGAAGATGCTTTATGGAGCACAAGGGAATGGGGATAAAGTGTGCAACTTTAGGGCCTCCACATTCTCATCTGAAAGCAGAGGGCATGAGCATTCCAGGGTGGCAGAGAGGATTCCTCTTGTGTGCCATTGCTGCTTAGCTGGAGTGTTAAGAGGCAGTCCGAGCTCACATCTGAGCCCAGCCAGAGCACTGTGACTGGTCAGCTGCACCCGCCAAGGGTGTGTGTGGGCACAGGGAGTGACAGCGTAAGAGGCATGCGTTTGCCGTTGCTGGTTGGACAGGATTAGTCAACCTTCAGGTGTGTAATTTTGTGAATCTTGAAATTCTCTTTGTCTTTTCTAGATTTTCAGTGTTTTCTTCCCCTTAAGGAAAATCTGTCTAAACTAATAGATCTTCTTTGTTGTTGTTACAGATTTGAAGACAGACATGCCTATAATCACATCAAAGAAGTAAGTCGTGGTGAACTTTGGCCTTGGTCAAAATTTTTGGTTTAAATCAGATCTATTTTTAGATAACCTTTTCTGATGTGGTAGTCTACATCCACCCCCACCCCCTTTTTTGTAGTAGGTATGTCCTTGAAAATTGTCTGAATTTAATGTGGATCAAATCATATTTGAAATGCACTAATTAAGTTTATTTTTTAAAACAACCCTAAGCCCAACCTTTTGCCAGTTGAATTCCTTCCGAAATATGAACAACTAACATGTAGTGTATAAATCTTTAAGTGCACAGATGCTGAAACTTAGATTTAGAACTGGCCTTCTGTGCCGTGTGGGCATAAATGACTCTGACCTCCTTCCTTGCTCTCCACTAGGAGGGTCGGAGAAAGGCTTACACAGAGGCTCTTCCTGGTCCACTCAGAGTCCTGACTCCATCCTCTGGGTTCTTGTTTGCGCTGTTCCCGTTTTGCAGTACATTTCTCCCTAACCCCCAAGCACACACACTGCCTGGCTATTCCTGCACATCCCACATATAGCTTACTTATCACCCTTGAAGTTTCTCTTCACCACCCTTCCCTCAGCTGAGCTGGGGTCATTCCTCCGTCCCCCTCGGAGTCTGCTTTGGTGCCCCTCACTGTGCCATTTGTCAGACACCTCAATTTAGATTGGAGAGCAGGGAGCATGCCTTGTTCCTCTCTGCAGCCCCGACACTTAGTGGTCCCTTGGTAGGATTTTGTTGACTAAATGTTCATCCATCTAAATCCTCATCATCCCTGGGGTGCAGCTCGAGTTGCAACCCTTCCTTCTAAAACTACTCAAGCCCACGATGATTTTTCATCTTGCTTCTAGCATGTACTGGCAGGATCTGACAGCTCCATTTTGGTTGCATGCCCAATAACCTCATGGCCAGAGGAGGATCAGGAGGCAGTGGCACCAGGGAGACACCAGTGGCTGCTTTGGCTAAAACCACAGGCTGGGGATAGGGGTCGGATCTAGTCTATGAGAGGGGCCTGCTAAGAACCTGGCAGAACCCCCATCCCAGGAGGGGCTGCAGTATAAACACCTTGCTGCATCCAGCACTAAGACTCAAACAGCTCAAAAGCCACCCCTCAGAACTGCATCCTGATCAGGCTGGCAGGAAAAATGACATAACATCAAGCCAGCTTTAATATGTGAGGTTTTGGATAGGCGAGATTGGCACCTACCTGAAGGTTATCCCTTTGTAAGCTATACAGTGTAACATTCCAAGAATTTTATTAATCCTTGTATTAGTTTCTTAGTACTGCCATAACAAAGTACTGCAAACTTGGTGGCTTAGAAGAACAGAAATTTATTCTCACTGTTCTGGAGGCCAGAAATCCAAAGTCAAGGTGCAGTAGGGCTACGCTCCCTCCAAAGGTTCTAAGGGAAGATCCTTCCATGCCTTGTCTTAGCTTCTGATGGTAGCCAGCATCACCATCATCACCATTATAGCCAATGGGTACTGATGGCTCCAGCAGTGCCAGTTACTTGCCTGAATAGCTGTATCACCTCAGCTCATCTTCTCAAGAAGCCTTTGAGGTAGGTATAGTCTTTTCCATCCCACACATGGGAACCTGCAGATACCTTGTCCAGGATTACCTGAGCTCAAACCAGGCAGTCCAGCTCCAAAACCCAAGAAGAACTGACACATAATAAGAACAATAATAAAGTTCTGCATGCTGGCATTTCTTGAATATGTTCCATGTGCTAGGTACTATGCTAATAACAGGTTTATGGATTATCTCCTTGACCCCTATGAGCTAGGCCCTTACCTGTCTTTGATGGGTGAGGAAGCAGAACCAGAGAAGGTTAAATGACTTGCTCAAGGCTAGTATTTGGACCTAACCAGACTGACTCAAAATCATTTTGCTGTGAACTTCCAGTGATAAATGGGCACTAATCAATAAGATGGCAGAGAAGGATGTTCTATGGAAATAGAAGGTGTGTGTGTGTTCAGAGCATAGAAACATGAGAAGCCAAGGCATGTTCACATGGTACCACTCAGTATTCTCGCTGCCCGAAAATGGGTCTGCTTTTCATCAGTCTCGTTACAGTTTCTAATCAGAGCTGCCACCTTTCCCTTCTGCCACGCTCCCCTTTGTTTTCTGACTTATACTTTTTACCTTTCTCTTCCTGCTGTTTCCAGCAGTATTGGGGGTTAATCACAGCAGGACTTGGTTTTTGAAAGTATTATCAGCCAATGAGAGGATACCTGCTCTGTGACTCATATGCCATATGTCATTTGTGTATCTGGCTGTTTTCATCACCAGTCTTACTCAGAGGCTTTCTTCTACATACTTTTGCAGCCTCAGTTTCATTTAAGCTTTCATAAATGAACATCTGAAATCATCATAAGACAGAAATGCAGGCGTGATTCTGGCATTTGGCAGTAGAGCAAAAACAGCCGTAGAGGTGCTAAGTGACTTAGCTGAGAATCAGAGAGCCAACGCCAGAACCCAGATGTAGTGCAGCGCTTGTCCCCACATGGCTGCCCCCGCTCTCAGAGAGCAGTTAATTAAGGTGTACATTTCCATTCATTAAAATGTTATTTGCGTTTTTAATGTGATATAGATTGAGTCAAAATGTTTATATTTTTCAAGTCTCCCTAAAAACCCCACAATCATATAGTAACAAATATTTATTGAGCACTTACTGTGTCCTGAGCACATTACATATAGCTTGTCTCCTTTTTTTTTTTAAACTGATTTTTTTTTTTAAGATTTTTATTGGGGAATTGGGGGATGGGAACAGCACTGGGGAATTGGGGAAGGGGAACAGACAAGTTGCTGTCCTTTGGTTCTTCAGTCTAGTTGTGGAGGACGTTGCTTCACTGGCCCAAGTTGGCAACATCATTGCGCTCTTCCCGGGTGAGGCAGATCAGTCGCCGGCTTCTGGACGGCCACTCACGCTGGCTGCCGGCCACACACGGTAGCCCATGGCAACCCACTGCAGCAGGGGCTGCAGCCTAGGCCGTTGCTGTCACCGTCGCCATTGCCCTGGTGACTCATGGCAGCCCAGCTCCAGGTTGAGCTGTTGTTCAGCATCTTAGCTGTAGAGGGCAGTGTCACTGGCCCTCATATGTGGGATCCGAACCGGGGCCCTCTGGCGTCCCAAGCCAGCTCTTAACCAATGCGCCACTCGGCCAGCCCTATATCTTTAATCCTTGCAACAAACCCCTAAGGTAGGCACAAGTAATCCCTGGTTCACAGAGGAAGAACTGAGCCTTAGAGCAGGGTCTGTAGCTAGTATAAGAACATAATGGAGTGAGGATTTGTACTTACATTTACCTTGACCACTCTTTTGCAAAGAGCAGAGCAGTGACCTGTGTGTGTTCCATCTCTCTCAGTTCTAGATCTTCTGATCAAAGAAGGAACTGTTGAACATTTAATTCAGTGGTTCTTTCACATACAAGGTCTGATCAAACAATATGGTGAACGTTTAAATAAAACAAATGTATTATGGTAAAAGACACATTGCCATTAATCCCCCTCAAAACACTCCCCCTCACTTCAAACACATTTATCCCATCATTCTTGCCACTTTCTGAAGCAGTTCTGGAAGTCCTCTTTTGTGAGTGTCTTTAGTTGCACTGTCTTGACTGCCTCAATGTCCTGAATCATTTTGATTTTGGGGAAGAGCCAGAAGTTGCACGGTACCATATCCGGTGAATAAGGTGGATGAGGACACACCATAATGTTTTCATTTGACAGAAATTGTCATGTCAGAAGCAATGTGTAACACTGAGCATTGTCACAAGAGAGGATGATTTACGGCACATTTTAAAACTCACCTTCTTTAAACCGTAGCTCACACCCAACTGCACCGAACAAGTTGAAACTTGTCATACACTGTTACTAAGGTTTGATGTGCCACTTCCTGTATTAAATTAAATTCCCTGCCTTTCCGTTGGATGGCACTCAGCAATAGCATTCACTGTATTTTGTGATCACAGCAGGAAGGCTCCATATCACACATCACTTGATCACACCTCATACTTTGAGTCATGGAATTTGAGGAAAGCCGTGGATTCCTTCCCCAGAAAAATACACATTGACACAAAAATTTGTGTTCAAAGAAAGGAGATTCATAGACCTGTGAAGCCTGTAGAGCCAATGCTTTAGGTGAAGAGCAAAGATTCTTCGCAAAGAACTTTTAGAGAAAGTTCTTTTAACTCTATGCAAGTGTGTCCTTATTTTTCATACAGGTGAAAAAACATCCTACTGTTATGTGGGCATCTATATTTTTTTACCCTGATTATAAAAAGTAGTATATAACACAATCCTTCTGAGGTAGTAGTAGTAGTATCCCCATCTAATGGGTGGGGAAACTGAAGCACAGAGAAGTTAAGTAATTGCCTTTGTCACACAGTTATAAGTGACAGAGTCAAGGCTGAACACGAAATGTTTGGTGTCAGAGTCCATGCATGTAATCACTGCATCATCCTGCCTCTTCAGTGTTAGAGTAGCCCTGCCAGCTTTTCATCTTTAAATCCATTCCCAGTCTATAAGAATGCATGCTCATCCCCACATAGGATAGACAGTGTGGCAGTTTCGAGATTCTTTTAATGACAGGGTTAAGCAGCCACAAATGTCTTTTCTAAATACAGCAGAAGCCAACTTCCTTGTTTAATTGAGTGTGAGACATAGCAGTTTATAAGCTATGGCATATTCAGTCATCCATACACAGTCAAAATACTCAAGGTGAATAGCAAAATTACATCTGTCTTAGGTACTTTTTAGATTAATTCCTGTAGATAGAGGCAAAAGTGCTCGCGTTTCACAATTTCTTCAGCCTTCCGCCAATCAGATTTCCCACGTATGGCGGTGGCTTCACATCTTGTGAACACATCCTAGCAGGGGCGGTAGGTGTTGATGCTTCTGCACCAGGGCAGAACCCCGTTGTCTTATCTGTAACTTTCTGTAACTTGGGAAGTGTTTAAAGCTTGCCTTCAAGTTTACAAAACTAAGCGTGTATTTTCTCATTAAAGTATACTTCTAAAATGATTATGGAAAATGGGGTCATTTCTATTAGGATGCTTGGATGTATGTATATAACCATAATCATTTCTTTCCATGTGTAGTGGAGACATTAGGAGGTACGGTGAACAATATTTATTGAAATTTGCATTTTTGCTTTCCAGTACTAAACAAAGGCTCTTTATATGATGAATGGGATATATATCTGAAAACATGGTCTCTAAAATTGAAAATAATACAGAATAAATCCTGTCAAAGGATGGCCATTTTCTCTCTTTTTTTAAAAGATTTTATTGGGGAATTGGGGGAGGGGAACAGCTTTGGGGAAGGGGAACCGACAAGTTGCTGTCCTTTTGTTCTTCAGTCTAGTTGTGGAGGATGTCACTTCACTGGCCCATATTGGTATTATCATTGTGCTCTTCCTGGGTGAGGCAAATCAGTCTCCAGCCACTGGATGGCCACTCACGGCGGCTCTTGACAGCTCATGCCGGCTGCCAGCTACTCACAGTAGCTTATGGCAGCCCACTGCAGCAGGGGCCAGCCTACGCCATCGCTGGCGACTCACGACAGCCCAGCTCCAGGTTGAGCTGTTGTTCACCATCTTAGCTGTAGAGGGTGCAGCATCACTGGCCCTAGTGTGGGATCCAGACCAGGGCCCTGCTGCTTAGAGCTGGTGTCCCAAGCCAACTCTTAACCAACACGCAACTCGGCCAGCCCCATTTTCTCTTTATATTTACCTAAATCACTTGGTCCACCAGTTTTAAATTATAAAAATTTTCATACTTTATTAAACTAGGGTCAGATTTTTTTCAAATTAAGCAAGTTAAATGAAGCTCTATAATAAAAACAAATACAAAGCAATACGTGCAAATTTCAGAACAGTTAGAATATGTAGAAGAGTACAAAGAAATTTATACTATTTACCTATAGCCCTCCATTGAGAAAAACCACTATAAACATTTTGGCACACTACCTTCCCATCTTTTTTACATGCTCTGTTGTCTTTTAAATATTGAAATATCAAGTGTTGTTACTAACAGTATTTCTATCTCGCAGGTATCAGCGTAGTGTAGAATGGGCCACAAAGCTCATGCGAAGACAGGGGCACGATGAAGATACGGTGCATAGAATCCTCAAGGATTACACAAAACCACTTGAGCACCCTGGTGTAAAAAGGAACGATGAGCAGAACTCTGAAATAGTTTCCAAGATGGAAGGCACAGAGGATAGAGAGAAGCTTTCTGTGATGAACGGGGACTCAGGAAAGCCAGACGGTTGGGAGGATCCCAACAAGCAGTCAGACTGCCTGCAGGACTTGGGGCATGACCCACTAACTGGAGATGGCCTGGATGGACATGTGGTACCTCTCCCCCACGTCCATTGCAGCAAACAGGATATTCTCCCCCAGGGTGGTGCTCAGCCTGAGGACAGCAGTCACCAAGTGGGCCTCACCTGTGCCAGGGAGAGAGGGCCTGCTGATGAGTACGTGCTGGTGGAGGAAACTGTGTGTGATGTGAGCAAGACGGAAGATGCCCCAAATGAGGAAGTAAGTACAAGAAAAGAAATCACTGCCTCCAAAGCCTCTGGTTCTTCTAGCCTATAGGAGATATGGCTAACCGGATGTCCTCTAGTTGGGACTGGTAGCAGGCCCGTCTTACACACCCAGGGTATGTGAGAGGTGGTCAGGACACCACACTGCAGACACTCAGAGGGAACCAGCAGGCACTGGGTCCTGCCCTGGTGGCTCAGTAGTTGTGAGGGCTATTTCAACTAAAACCTTAAAGTTCGTGAATAACTAACTTAGAAAAAATGTACATTTAAAGCAGGTCCAATAACCCCTCCCTTGTTTGGGAGAAAAAGAAATGTGGTGTTGACGACAATAGTCGTGAGTGTAGCCGTGGGGGCGGGCCTCAGGTGTGGAAGTCGGCCATCACTGGAGAAGCAATGGGAAACAGGTTAACAGCCACTTCATTAAGGGGCGCTCTATCAGCGTTGCCCTAAAATTATCTGTAATAGCTAAAAATGAGAATCTAATGGTCACTCACTTGAGGAAATATTATCTAGGTTTGCCAATGAGGTTTATAAAGTCTCATTAAAAACCTAGGCACATTTGTGAAGTACAGTTGGGTGAAAAAAAGCCCATCAAATCAACCAACAAAATGATCACAACTGCGGGGAAAAATTCATGGGGGCAAAAAGAAAAGAAGTAAATCAAAATGTTAATAATAGAAAAACTAAAACTGCTTTGTCCACATAAGTAATACAAAATTTTTTTAACAGCATGAATCCAACAAATGTGAATCTGGGAAACGTATAAGAAAATTATTTTTTTTTAAATGCAATCTTCTCGATATAACATGTAGTACTCCCATTTGTTCTGTATTTTATTTCACTTCAGTTGGCACAAAAGAAACTAATATGCAGAAGAAATCCATATAGGATCTTTGAGTATTTGCAACTCAGCCTAGAAGAGGTATGTTTCCACTATGATCTCTTTTCAGCCATTGGTCTCTGGGCCTGGGTGACGCCATATAGATGAGTCTAACTCAAAACGAAGTTCTGTATGTAATTCAGTAACTGAGAATTCAGTAATTGAATATCGCAGTTTGGTATCGAGATAACCCTGGGCAGTTTCCAAAGTAAGCCTGCCCAAATTTCACTCCTTAGCCTTCATTTTATCAATTCTAAGATATGCGTTAAGGGGGTGGGGGTGGGGTGCTCCCTGTGTTATTCCACAGTGGTTTCAAAGGGTTTGTTGAAGCACTTCTTTTCACATCAAGGTTTTAGATTGGCCAAATATTATGTTACCGATTTTCACCAGGTTCTAAAAAAAACAAACAGAAAAACAGTTTATTGAGATACAGTTCACATGCTATACCATTCACCCATTTAAAGTGTACATTTCAGTGATTTTTAGTGTATTTGTGGAGTTTCATTAGCTTTTAATAATCTATGATGCACACTTCAAGTTGTATAATGACCGCTAATTACCTAATGGTCTAGGTCAGGGGTCGGCAAACTTTTGAAACACAAGAGCCAATCCTGTCCCTCACAATAATTTAAAAATTATTCGAGAGCCATAAAACAAATGAAATCACCATAATGTGAATAATATCCTTTAAAAATTTTATAAACGAACTAGGATAGTTTTATTTTCATTTTCAATTTTACTTCAGAGCCACATGTACGTACCCAAAGAGCCGCATGTGGCTCGCGAGCCGCGATTTGCTGACCCCTGGGCTAGGCGGTTCCTTCTGCAACATTTCTAATACATGTTCTCTTTATTTAAAGCAGTAGCTGCATTCTCAAAAGTTGGCTGAAAAAGTGGCTTTCTAAGGAGTGCATTATGTTTTTCTTCTGATTTGGAGTTCCTCTGTCCTGTGTTCATGTGACTTCCAGCCCTTCCTTTTTGCTTATGTTTATACTGTCCACAGCAGTGTCCTTTCTGCCCTTGAAGACAGACCACTTCCTCAGTCTCATGTCTGTGGGTGTGTCTCTTCTCCAGGAGCGCTCCTGCCTGTCTTGGATAGCTTCTGCAGCGTCTAGGACAGTTCTTGGCATATATGTAGGTCTCAAGGAGTGCTTGTTGAACACACCCACATTGGGCATTTCATAAATGTGTCCACAGAGAAGTAATTGTGTCTCCACATCCTTTTGATCTCCAGGCGGGCACTTCCTTTCTTGCAGTGAGGCCAATAGTACAAACAACAGACTTTCAGAGCAGAAAGGATGTTTGGAGTTACTTATTTCATCTCCTCATGTTACAAATGAGAGAGCTTAGTCTGCTGTCGAATACAGTAGCCACTAGCTCTGTGTGGCTATTTAATTAAAATTGAACAAAATTCAAACTTCTATTTCTCAGTTGTGCCCGCTACATTTCACACACTCAACAAGCTACATCTGGTTCGTGGCACTGTATTGGACAACACGTGTGTAGCTCGTTCTCATCACCGGAAGTTCTGTTGGACAGCACTGTGGGCACCCATTCCCTCAGTGCTTACCTCTGAGCCTTAGCTTTCATCTCTGTAAAGTGAGGGTTAGGTAACCCCTCGTTCATAAGATGTTCTGGAAATTAAATCATGCATGTAATGTACAGTACCTGGTATATGATAAATACTCAATAAGTGTTAGTGCCTGCTATTCTTGTCATTATCATCATTATTAAGTCACTTGTAAAAGCTATTAGCTAATTTTTTTATTTCGCAATCAGTACTTTGCGAAAATATTCATTGGGTATTTACTATATGCCGGGCACTGGGCTAAGTACTAACAATACAGGAAGAAATAGAATGTGCGTCAGGTCCTAAAGGTAGCCCAGAAATAACTGCAATTCAGTGTGCTAGGCTGTGTGGTAAATGGGCTATACCAGTGTTGCTCCTCTTGTATCCTTGTACACAATGCCTGACATCTATTAGGTGCTTAATAATTAATTATTAAATGGATGTGTACGAGGTATGGAATTTGCACAAAAACTGGTGGAGTCCAAAGGGACAAGCTAGCTGGAAAGACTTACACAGAGTCGGTGATATCTGCAGATGTTTAAGGATAGATAGGGGGTTGCCAGATGGACACGAGACAGCATGGACTCTTTCATGTAGCTCTGTCCTGGGAACGGCAGCACAGGAGGGCTAGATCATGGAAGGTGTATCTGTGAGTAGGAGTCTGACCTGGTCCTGGTGGCACCAGGGCACTGCAGATGGTGTTGTAGGGGAATGGTAGAGACCAGAGCTGACATCAGTATGAGTGTGGGCTGGAGGGCTGAGGCCATGAAGAGCCTGCCTCTGGGAGGCGGCAGCAGTAGGCCTGGAGAGAGTATCGGGTGTCAGAAACTGGGGGTTCGGCCTCACTGTTCCAGGTGGGTGACCAGTTGATGCTTTTTACTGACAAGTAAGAAAAGGTGCTGCTGTCTTGCTGCGTCTTCCCAAACATTCCCAAAGAAACGCACAAGTAATAGGAGATAGCAGATGAGGTAGCCCTGCTTTCTTGGAATCTACTTGGCTTCTGAGAACATTCCAGAAACATGTTGGAGAAGTTTTCAAGGAGCATGCTGTTAAACCTGGCCCTGCTTCTGAGCTCTGTTTGGCAGATTTCCCTTGAATGATTCACCCATGTTTGGCACACCTCTTATACAGTTTAATGTGTTTCCATAAATGTCCATCAGGAACACGGGCAGCCCTGCTGTGGTGATTCAAAGCAACTCTTTTTAGTGATTGAGAATGGTAATAGCACCGCTGACTTAAAGATCTGTTTCTTAGAGATCTGCTACTGAGAGCTGGTTTTCTGTTATAATGATTCGGGCCCTAACTAGATTTAGTGATACGATGTTAAAATCATCATTAAACTCATCCCTCCATCTTATTAGTAATATCAAAGCAAAAACTTAACTAATGAGATCTCAAGGGACGTAATCACCAGCCTCCACAGACCTCCCCACTCCACTGATGTTTTAATCCCAAATAAAACCAATGCAGTTGAATTAAAATCCTCTCCATCTGTAATAAATGCCTAAGAGCAGTTTGCATAGATTCATAAAAGCCATTTTAGACCAATAAAAATGAGGCATTGGCTTCATCAGTTCTTAGGGAAATATGTATTTGCTGGTAATGGAAAGCTTCTGAAGAACTTAAATTCTAACTGATACCAGGGAGAAATCTCTTGCTAGGCATAAGTTAGATTGAACTTTTCCAGGCTACAATATCTAAATGGTTTTTAGAAAGGGAGGGAAACTAAAAGGAGTTAAGCAATTGGGTGCTTTGCATAGCTTTTAAAATCACTATGAAATTTAATCTCATTGAATCTTTTTTGGTATTTTTAAGATTTTTATTGGGGGATGGGAACAGCGCTGGGGATTTGGGGGAAGGGGAACAGACAAGTTGCTTTCCTTTTGTTCTTCAGTCTAGTTGTGGAGGATGTTGCTTTACTGGCCCAAGTTGGCACCATCATTGCGCTGTTCCTGGGCGAGGCAGATCAGTCACCGGCTTCTGGACGGTGGCTCACGGCGGCGGCTGCTGGCCGCTCACGCTGGCTGCTGGCCACACACGGTAGCCCATGGCAACCCACTGCAGCGGACTGCAGCCTACGCCGTCACCAGCGACTCACAGCAGCCCAGCTCCAGGTCGAGCTGTTGTTCAGCATCTTAGCTGTAGAGGGCAGGGTCACTGGCCCTCTGGCATCCCAAGCCAGCTCTTAACCAACGCGCCACTCGGCCGGCCCTCATTGACCCTTTAAGAAGGCATTATCAGTCCCATTTTATAGACGAGGTAGGAGAGTTTAAGTGAGACTTTCAGGGCCTTAGCTATTAATAATGATTCCATCCTAGGTCTGTCATATCTCAGAGTTCATTATTCCTATTACACCATTCTGAACCGAGAAGTGAGAAAATGGAAGGGAAAAAAGGACTTGGGTTTTTGAGGAACCAACTTTGTCTTTCCCATTGCACCTATTGGCCACCATCTGTGTCCATCTGAGAAAAAAGTAATATTCTGTATTAATAAGTAGTGGGCCCTGGAAAGAGAAAAGGTCAAAATAAGATTATAGGACACCTTTCCCGGGAAGTCACCAGTAGCTGAAAGGAGAAGTCAGACGTAGTATCCACATTGAGGAGAAAGGAGCTGAAAGAGCCAGGCCTGCAGAGACCTACAGACAGGATCCAGGGACCTGTTTCTTCATTCTTTCAGCCCAGGCATTGAGCACACACAGTGTGCTAGACTTTTGTGGGCCAAGGGAACAGCAGATAGAGTCTCTGCTTTCACAGAGTTTACTCTATTTGGAGAGATATCTATAAGAAGGATATTTTCAGACAAAAATGAATGCTCTGAAGAAGACAGAATGAGGGTTACTTAAACTGGGTGGTCGGGGAAGACCTCTCCGAGAAGTGACCATTGAGTCTGCGGCAGATTGTGTCCAATGTGGGAACAATTACAAAAGTAAAGGCAGGAATGAGCTTAGTGTGATCAGGGGACAGAAGTGAAACCATGACACTAGAGAGAGCGGTGGTCAGACATGCAGGGGCTGCAGGTGGCCGGAAGCAAGAGTGCAGTAAAGCCCTTGGGAGAGTTTCAGTCATGGGACCCACATGGTCTTCACCTGTTAAGAAGACGGCTGGGGCTGCTGTGGAGAAAGGGCTGTGAGGAGGTAAGAGCAGAGAGGCCTTTGCAGAAGTCCAGGCAGGAAGTGATGGCTGGATCAGGGTGGCTGAGACCAGCAGGTAACCACCTGCATTTCAGAGAAGCTCTAGATTTGGTCCTGGGTGAAACTAAAGTAGTAGGTCTCAAACCACTTACTTTCTTAAAAATTATTGAGGATCCCAAGGAGCATTTTTAGGTGGATTATATCTATTAGCATCTACCAGTCACCTCCTTGATTAAATTTATTTCTAGGTATTTTATTCTCTTTGTAAATGGGATTGTTTTTCTAATTTCTCTTTCTAATAGTTCATTATTAAAGGTACAGAAACTCAACAGATTTCTGTAAATATATTGTGTATCTTACAATTTCACTGAATTCATTTATTAATAGTTCTAATAGTTTTTTGGTGGATTCTTCAGGGTTTTCTGTATATAATATGTCGTCTGCGAATAGTGACAGTTTTACTTCTTCCTTTCCAATTTGGATGCCTCTTACTTCTTTTTCTTGCCTAATTGCTCTGGCTAGGACTTCCAATACTATGTTGAATAAAAGTGGCAAGAGTGGATGTGTTTTACTGAGTTTAAACCAGTTTGTGGCATTCATATTTTCTTAGATTTTTTTAATCTTTGAAAACTGTATGAATCGTTTCTGTTAAAAATATGTGCCCATTTTAGTGATGATTCAAGGACTTTAATTTGTATTTGAGGCAAAGAGAAATGAATCTGTAAAATTTCTCAAGAATGTGGAATAGTTTCTAATGAGAATTTTCTGCTTGCTCTGTTTTTAGGCCTTCTTCCTGGTCTATGCTCTGGGATGTCTAAGTATTTACTATGAGAAGGTAAGATGTTTTATTTAGGTATAATCCACTTTAAATTTTCCCGATGTTAAAAGCTGGTTGTAGTAATTTCCATATTGCTTCAATACAAATGCATCGCTTTCACTAAATAAAATAGGAATTGAATTTTTCTCTAAGTTTCAGCTTTGGGTCTTGAATTGGGACTGTTCAGGCAAAAGCCAGTTTTGACCCTTTTAGACTGAACTTCATTCCAACAGGCTCAGAGAAGAGCAGTAGCTTATATAATGCTCAGGAAATTTGTGTTAGAAGAGTCCTAAAAATTAACAACAAAAATATAAGCTGCCATTGTTTAGCACTACTCCAGTAAAGGCTGTGTGTTAGGTGCTTTACATCTCATACTTCTAATCCTTACCTCCCATCTGGTAAGAATTTTACAGATAAGGTAACTGAGTCTCAGAGAAAATAAATAAGTCCCCCAAGGTCTCACAGCTTGTCTGGGTATAATTAGTATTTGAACCTACATCAGGGTAGCTCCAAAGCTTGTGATTCCATATGGCAGCCTGCTGCCCTCAGAAGAATGGTCGTCCCATAAGAAGTTGCTCCTGTTGCCTGCCTTCTAGTAGATGAACTGGAGGGCTGGGTACACAGTTGGGAGGGAGACTTTCCACTATACACTTTTTATACTTTTTGAATTTTGAACCATGTGAATATGATACCTATTCAAAATAATTCAAATGAAATTAAAATTAAGAACACAAATGTAAGCAGAACAGTAACTAGACCAGAGAAAGCATACTTTAGTCTGTTCGCAGAAGTACATAATTTTATCATTCATCAAATTCTAATTATATAAGTATTTTTCACAAGTATTCCAGTGGTTTAGAAATGAGTGTCTGGCTAAGGGGTGACTCATTTTCCCAGATGGTGGCCGTTTTCAGCCCACCCTGCCTCCTCTCCTGGGCCTTCGCTGAACTTTGTCAGAACATTCCAGCTGCTACATAGAATCCTCAACATCTGAAACATGGTGGGCTGTCCATATTGGAAGTTCAGCTTTCTCCACAAGACTTGCTTCTCAGAGAAGGGGTTGAGTGTTTCCTCGCAGTGGGATTTGAAGGCCACACACATAGGGAGTTTCCACCTTAGGAACAACTGCCAAAAAAACCCACAACTCTAGCTCATATTTATGGTATTAAAATCTTCGTCTGAGCCAACTGAGCAAATCTGATCAAGTGACTGAATCCCAAACCAACTGAAGAACTGATCATTTTACCAAGCACTTAAACGAGGCAAAAAATCTTTCCAGACTTATCTAAGGTTTTTTTGTATTGATACATCAGAATGTTCTCTGAACTGAACCATGCTCAGTCTCTTCAAGTCCTACATGAGAAAGTAAAATTCTCTTATAATCAGTTGGAATATTAATTTGTGCCACCAGATAACAAATTCTCTAGTTTCAAAGACTAAATGGATCATTTTTTAAAGCTTTTATAGAGTTATTTGTGGCTGTTCTGAATGTGGCCTGATGTGCAGTAGCTGCTCTTTAGGGTCTGTGAAACGTTTGGCCCACGCTGCGCTTGTGGACTTGTTACACTAGAGCACCCCAGCATGCACTCCTTCCTCTGCCTGGAATGTGCGACCCCAGCCACCGCCACCTCCTCCAAGACCATCCAGCACCCCTTTCATTTGGCTACTTCCTTCTCATTTCAGTGTTACTGGCTCAGGGCAACCTCTCGCAAGTCCTCTAGAGCAGTGCTGTCCACTTTGAAATATATTGAGAGCCTCAGACAGGAGCCACCTGTATAACTTAAAATTTGTTAGTATCCATATCTCAGATCAGGCATGTGGCTGGTGGCCACTACATTGGACATCACAGATCTAGGTCTAGTGAGATCCCTCTGTTATGGATACCATGTTTGTTTTATTCACTGCTTCAGCTTCACACTTAAAGATGTTGATTCACTGGCTGAATGATGAGTGAATATGTAGATAATAATGCCTTTTTTTCCCCAATAACTTTAGGAGCCTTTAACGATTGTGAAACTGTGGAAGGTTTTTACCACAGTTGAGCCCACATTCAGGACTACGTACATGGCGTACCATTACTTCCGAAGCAAGGGCTGGGTGCCCAAAGTAGGACTTAAGTACGGAACAGATTTACGTAAGTCATTCTTGGCATGGTAGATGTCAGAACCAGAGTTTGCATCAGATCTAGAGTGAAAATTGAATTGGTTATATGTGCTGTTGCCGATCGTTCCTGAGAAATGCCTTCCTTCTGGCTTAGATGAGAATATTGGATATTTGGATTGGGGTGGAGATTCTGTCTAGAAGGAGTGAAAAGGCAATCTAGGAGAAGAGCCTGGGAGTAGAAGCTTGCAGCCCCAAGTCAGGCTTTTCCTGTCATCTACTCTGTAATCTTAGGAAAGAGTTCTACAGTACCCAGCCCCCACCTCTCATCAGCCATGTGATATAGAGCAGTCCCTTATCCTCTGGGCCCCTCTTGACTCATCTGACAAATGAGAATAACCATATACTAATAATCAGAGCTATCATTTATTGGGTATTTATTATATGCCAAACAGTGTACTAAGTGCTTCACATTCATTATCTCATTTAATCCTTACAGCAGTCCTATGCGATGGATACTTACTACCCTTATTTTTCTGATAGGGGGACAGCAGGTTTGGGACAATGGGTCATGTGCCCCCAGTAGTTTTCAAGGCCAGTACCTTAGAGAACTGGACTTTGAATTTTGGAGCCCAGGTTCTTAGAAACTTTTACACAGTTCTTCCTCCCCTGATCTTTCCTTAAAGAGAGGAGTCAGAGCCAGGTGAGCGAGACCTCATTCAGCAGATAATTACTGAGGGTTTCCTGTGGGCCAGGGCCTTTGAGATGCCACGAATAAGAGGTGAACAAGACAAATGCACAGCTTGTGTCCTTGATGGAGCCGCTTGTGTACTTGGGGGGAGGGGGAGCAAACAAACAAACGAATACCTACATAATGTAATTTCAGGCACTGATAAATACTGTGAGAGAATTAAGAGTAGAGTAAAGGAGTTAGTAACAGTGGTCAGGAAAGCATTCTGAAAAGAAGTCACAGTGAGGGAGCAGGTTGCTTGAGAATCTGGGGAGGAACATGCTGAACACGCCAGGCAAGGTGAACAGCAAGCGCAAGGGCCCTGAGGCAGGAACAAGCTCAGCAGGTTTCAGGAACAGCAGAAAGACAGTGTGTCTAGAACTCAGAGATCCAGGAGGAGATTGACATGAGGTGATGTCTGAGCGTGACGGTAGGCTGGATCCAGGTCACAGGGCCTGGCAGAGACTTGCAATGTTACTCTACTGATTGGACGTCTTGGGAGATTTTGAGCAAGGGAGTGACTTAAATTGAATGACTTAATTTAACAAGACCCTCTGTCTGCTCTCTTATTAATGGACTGAGGAGGGCAAAAATGGAAGCAGACTGGTTAGGGAAGCTGTGCCCAACCAACCCTGCAGGTGGAATGAATGTGAGGCTTGTGGTAAGAGAGGAATCAGGGATAATGCCTAGCTATTTGGCTTTATGTTTTGTCCAGTGGAATACTATAAAGCAGCGGTTCTCAACCTTCCTAATGCCGCGACCCCTTAATACAGTTCCTCATGTTGTGGTGACCCCCCAACCATAAAATTATTTTCATTGCTACTCTATAACTGTAATTTTGCTACTGTTATGAATCGTAATGTAAATATCTTTTTGTTTTCCGATGGTCTTAGGCGACCCCTGTGAAAGGGTCGTTCGGCCCCCAAAGGGGTCGCGACCCACAGGTTGAGAACCGCTGCTGTAAAGACAGGCAGTTCTGGAGCACAGGAGAGCCTTGAGATGTAAATTTGGATTATATAACTAGCACTTAAAGCCACGGGCTTGGGTGAGTGCACATACTTGTAATGAGCACTAGTATAGTGTCACTCCTTTGGTAAGTCCCCAAAACTCATTTTCCTCATCTACCAAGTGAGGGTGCTTCCTGGATGCTTTTCAGAATTGTTAGTGAGGTTCAAACAAAAATTTCAAGATGTATGAGAGGCCTTCTAAGAATTCATGGCCCTTGGGGTCTTTTGAACTCTGACACATACTTATTCCATGTATTTTTGAACCTTTTTAAATGCTCTAAAATTGAGTGTGCTTAATCTAGACTCATTGGATGGTCTTAAATGGGCACCTGCACCCCCTGACATTTTATTCAAAAGATTGTGTTTGTAGGATGGTGTGTTTTTCTGGGTCGAGTCCATACCTTTCATTAAATTCTCAAAGGGGGTCAGCAATTCAAAATAAAAGTTAAGGATCACCTATCCCTCTAAAATAAATGGTTTCTTTTGTTTCTCCCATGCCTGGATTTCAGGTACAGATATCCTAACTCCGAGTTACCACACGAATGATCAGGATTAGCTTGAGATTAGTTTGCTAGGTTTACAGATAATTGTATTGGCCACAGGTCACGTTGTTTAAATAAGTGATGTGCCTGTTTCATTTTTCTTCATTGGCTTCCCGCCCTGTTCTCCTTTTCATGCTCCTGTAAGAATAGCACTCACTGTAAATGTTTGCTGGTCTTCTCCAACTTTCTCATTATGTGGATGAAATTTGAGTAGAATTTTCCAGCGGACAAAGCTACAGTGATGCATTAAGAGGTGGCATGGTGTGATGGAAAGAGAGCTCTTTTGGGTTCACAGCCGGCCCTACTTAACTACCTGTGTGACCTCAGCCAAGTTTTTTCATCTCTGAGTTTCCATTTGCTCATCATATAACATGGATAACAACACCTTCTTTATGAAATAACATTTATTTTAAAAAATGGGTTGCAGGGGAACAGGGCCTTTGTTGAATGCCTTCTAAGCATACCTTATCTCCCGTATTTTCATTGCTCAAGCCATATTTGTGGATAATGAGTAGAGACAACTTTTCTAATTTAAAAATAAACTGCCTTCTAAGGATGGATGAAAGGACAGATGGATTTTTTTAAAAGAAAAATAAATCAACCGCTATTTCCCAACTCCCTGGAGGCCTTAGTCCCAGCCGGGGCATATCATGCACTTCAAACCACTTGTATAATTAATGTGAGACCAGGTCTCCAGCCCAGCAGCAAAGGAAGGATAACTTCACCGTTCCTGCTTTAGCCAGGGTTCACGAGCAGTGCTAGCCTGGGGTGAGAGGATTGACTTCCTAAACTTTACCCCTTTCTCCAGGTACAGCTGCTGGGTGCCACTGATTTTTAACAATATTATTTTAGTTCTATGGGCTGGTGACCTAAGCACATGTACCCTACAACTGCCAACACAGGTTAAACCCAGGCCATTCTCTCTCAACAGTTGTTTCTGCTTACAGAGCTAATGACTCATGACAAAGGGCCGTTATGAAATTCACATCTTATCAGGGAAACTCTTCCTTAAATAAATCTTGTCAATCAAATTTCATTCCAGGAGCAGTATTTGGAACAAGTGATATGGATCTCAAATCAAGTGCAGCTGCTGAGCAAGTTGACCTTGATTGCCTACTGGTGAAAACCAGACTAGAAACGGGGAGCTTTTCCTTACATGCCCCACCCAAAAGCTCCCATGGCTACTGGCTCCTTTGGTGACCAGAAACCTTGCTTGCCTCGGTGCTTTTCTTTTCTTGTCTTATTTAATCTTCAAATACTCATGTGAGGTGCGTATTATTCACCTCCCTGCCACAGACTGTGCGCCTCCGAAGGGTTCCCTGTGCAATTCCAGGGTCCATGTGGCAGAGTCCCTGGTCCCAGGATCTTTCTCTGGGCGGCAGCTCTTGACCTCCGTAGATTGAATTACAGTAGTCCCCCATTACCCGAAATTTTGCTTTCCTTGGTTTCAGTTACCCGTGGTCAGTGGTGATCTGGAAATATTAAATGGAAAATTCCAAAACTAAATGATTCATAAATTTTAAATTCCGCCTCATTCTGAGTAGTATGATGAAATCTCTCACTGCCCCTCTCCATCCCGCCCACAAGGTGAATCGTCCCTTTGTCCAGCACCCCCACACTGCCTACGTTTCCCACCCAGTAGGCACTCAGTAGCCATCTCAGTTATCAGGTCAACTATCACATTATCGCAGTGCTTGTGTTCATGTAACTCTTGTTTTACTGAATAATGGCCCCAAAGCCATTCACATAACTTTTATTACACTATATTGTTATAATCCAGCGGTTCTCAACCTGTGGGTTGTGACCCCTTTGGGGGTCAAACGACCCTTTCACAGGGGTCGCCTAAGACCATCGGAAAACAAAAAGATATTTACATTACGATTCATAACAGTAGCAAAATTACAGTTATAGAGTAGCAACGAAAATAATTTTATGGTCGGGGGTCACCACAACATGAGGAACTGTATTAAGGGGTCGCGGCATTAGGAAGGTTGAGAACCGCTGTAATCTATTTTATTATTAGTTGTTAATCTCTTACCATGCCTAATTTATAAATTAAACTTTAATATAGGTATGTATTCATAAGAAAAAAACATGTACAGTATGTACAAAACATACATAGATATATGTAGGGTTTCGGGCATCCACTGGGGGTGTAGGACCATGTCCCCCGTGGATAAGAGGGCACAACTGTGGTAGGGCAGACTGATCTCTGAGTGGCATGTTTGGTTATGTGATTTTTTCCCCCCACTTGACTTTGAATTTCTTAAAAATAGGAATGAGTCTTGTTCACTTCTAGCACCAACACCTAAGTCAGTACCTAGCCAGATTAGCTCAGACACTTTGAATTACACTGATTGGACAGGAATAACAAAGTATACTGATCCACAAACTTCACACTCTTGGTACACATTCATACTCTCACTCTGGAGAGTGTAAGAGGCAAGACAAGAATCACTTGTACTTGACTTTGGAATTCATTTGTGGGGTGGGAGTGGGATGAGAGCATTAGGGTCTTAGCAACAGATTTGCTTTCCTAATTGCATTTTGTTTCAGGGGTGAAAAACAGTTTGGGTTTTAAAAATAGACTACAGGGCATATTGCAGATCAGCCATATATAGATAATTGGATGTTTATGTCCCTTTGGAGAAGAAAAAACTTAAGTAATAAAATAAGATTTTTATTTCAGGTGGTTATACATTTCCTTTCTTTTTCTTTGCAGTGCTGTATCGAAAAGGTCCTCCATTTTACCATGCAAGGTTTGGAATGATTTTTATTGTAAATGAATTTATGGCTTAAAGGGACATGAAGAAATTTCTGGCCTCCACTTTAATTTCAGTGCCACAGAAACAATTAGCCATGTTCCTGTTGGCCTGATAGGGATATATACTATATATTGGTACCTTATACACCATACATAAAATAATAAATAGGTTATGATAATATGTTTTTATTATTAAGTTAATCTATGTAGTAATTGTTCATCTTAACATCAGTGACTGCCAGTATACAAACAGTTGAGTGAATTCTCAGCTTTCATGTTGGGAGAAATATTTCTGTATGTGTTGAAATCAGCCTGAAAGTTTGTAACATAAACTACGAGTTTTTCATTAATATTTTCTCAGTAACAGTCTAGGGGAATTTAGGATCAGAAGATGTACATTTTATTTTTCATGTATCTTCATTCTTGGTAGGACAAACAGTATTCTTTTTAAACAGATTGATTTCATGCTATTTATTTTTAAAACACTCTTTATGTGTTTTTCAGTTACTCTGTCATTATTGAGCTAGTCGATGACCATTTTGAGGGCTCTCTTAGAAGACCTTTCAGTTGGAAGTCGCTGGCTGCCTTGAGCAGAGTTTCAGTGAATGTCTCCAAGGTAACAAACAACATCAGCTCTGGCATTCACATGTTACTTAAATGGTTGGGTTATTTATTTATTTTTTTTAATGTAGTAGAAACAGAGAAGTCATTTGTAGAGACTTCAGAGTGTTTCTGCCGGAGAAGTTCTGGGCGAGTGGGCTAGAAGCTGTCCTCCCCTTATGTCCCCTCCCACCCAACTGGCTCTAAGCTCCAGGAATTGAGCTTCAGAGTTTCCCATAGTGATTAGTATCAGTGAGCGTGAGCGTGGCCTTTCTCCCCAGGGGTGCCATTGGTAAGCGCAGCCTGCACATGCTCACAGTGTATGTTCACAGAGGAATCCAACCCTTGACACATTTCTTTTCAGCTTGCAGATCTCTTGAAGAGGGAGGAAGGGATTTAATTTATTGCTAAACACTGTACGTGTTTTTTCACCACCCATTTACCATCCTCATCCTAAGAGTGAGGAATCAAAGGGTCAAGAAGCATTGAGTGAGGAGCCCGTGACCATGAAGCTCATATGCAGAACTGGGATTCAAACCCAGAGTCAGCTGACTTACTGGCCGTGTTCCATTGTACTGTGCTGCCCTTGAGATAGGAGGGAAAGTTCATCTCACACCAGGACTATTGAGGATGAAAGTTTTGTGTGTTCTCTGGTATTCCGTAATGTGCTAACTGAAAATGAATTGTGGGCCCCCTCCAGCTGCTGGAGGGATAGTGGGAGCTGAGGCTGGCAGGTCCAGAGGGGCCAGGCGGCAGCTGTCTTGAGTGCAGGTTAAGTTGCTTAGGCCTTAGCCTGTAAAAAGTAGCTTTGTCCTATAGAAATATGGAGTCTGTACTGTTTCTAGTATTTTTATGCCCACTTTTGGGGGCATACATATTAGCGTATATTGACTATTTTAAATGCTATGTTTATGACCAGTATATCTACTTTATTTGCATTCTCTTTCCATGTCAATGATGACTAAATGGCAGGTCCTTAGTCTGGAATGTGAGCCCAGTTATGAAGCTCCCAGGAGGAAACTGATGCGCTTTGTGATGTTTCCAGGAGCGCACAGTGAGAGGGAATGGAGACAGCCTGCATGTCCTGCTGATGCACTCAAATGTGTACGATTTTGTGGCATATGGAGATTGTTTTCTATTTTCCTAATAGGAACTTATGCTGTGCTATTTGATTAAACCCTCTACCATGACTGACGAAGAAATGGAGTCACCAGAGTGTATGAAAAGAATTAAAGTTCAGGTGGGCAAACTCAGAGATAATTTACACCATCCTAAAGATTCCATCCACTGTATTGTGTCCTCTTGAACATGTGTCCCAAGAAAAGAAATGAAACCCACCTTCCTTGGTAATAGCAAGCCTGATTAAGCCCTTTCCTGCCAAATGCACTCTCACTCCCCCTTAATTCCTGCTGCTTCCTTACCTGCCATGTGATCTGGTTTCTGTTCTTACCACTGAGCTGAGACTTCTCTCCCTGACAGCCTGGGACATCCTGGTCATGCCAGGACCTGTCCTCAGTCTCAGCCCCAGAGACGGGAAGTGTTGCTGTTGACTCATCCCTTCCTTGAACTTCTTGCCTTGCTTCTGGGGCTCTGTGTTGAGCTGAGTCTCCTGCTGTCTTCCTGGCGGGGCTTTCTCTGCCAGGGATGCCAAGTTCATTGTCCATCACCCAGTGTTTGTTAATAGTCCCATCCCTTGCCCTGTCTTTGACTCCTCCCCAACATCACGTATCTCATTGTTTTTTTTCTATCTCTAACTTTGCGTCCTTCTTTTTTGTTAACACTGCCCCAACCCACTGCAGACCTGCTCGAGGGCCCCAGTGCCTCATGCCTCCAGTTTGTTCTGCTCATCCCCACTAGGTTAGCCAATCCAGATCCACTTCTCCCCTCTCAGTGCTCACCTGAATATACCAGCGCCATCATTGACTTGGTTCTGATGTTAAATACAAACTTTTGTACTGGCACTCCTAATCCTAGAAAGTGCTAGTAGAGGCAAGTTTAGCTTTTAAAATCTTTGCGTTGATTACAGTAGATACCATTTGCATATAAGGTTGATATTGCTACATTCACATTTTTTCCAAATGTTTAGTTACAATGAATGGGAACAGGTATCCCCATTATGTGGACAACTTTTTGTGAAATGTAGCTACAGTGTCACATGCGTAGCATGTTCTTTCATTTCTGTTTTTGAAACTCAGTCGTCTTTTTGTTTTGATTGGTTACAGGAGGTGATTCTAAGCCGCTGGGTTTCTTCACGAGAGAGGAGTGACCAAGACGAACTTTAACAATTCAGCCTCAGATTTCTGATTTCACCAACAAATACTTATTGAGTCTCCTACAGTAAGCCAAGTTCAGGGCGAGGTAAAGAGTCCATTTATTGTAATTGTCCATTCACTTAAAAGTTTTACAGGACATGGTGCTCCCAACACCAGAAAACTGTTAGTGTTTTAAAATAAAATCACACAGGGTAGAAAAAAAGCCCTGTGCCAAGACCTGAGATTCTGTCCTTGAATCGGTCACTGACTCAGACTGACCCTGAGCTCCTCGCCTCTGGGCCTCAGTCCGTGTCCTCATCCATTCAGTGAGAAGGTTGGGCTACATGAGTCCCAAGAGGACTCTTCCAGCAACAGGGGAGTTCTGTTGTTGTTTTCTGATTTTACCTGAAAACAATATAATAGTTCACCTTTATTGTGGCACCTGCAGTTTCTGGGGCACTTTTGTACACAGGGATCTCTTGTTCCCCAAACCCAAGCTGTTCCTGAGAGAGTGCTAAAGAGCAGATTGGGGGATTGCAGGACGCGATGTTCCATTATTTCAAATGGAAAAAATACAGTGTCTCAGCTTGTCTAAGAACTTCAACCAATTACTCAAACTCAGAAAAACCCATTTAATATTCAACAAGGATTTCTGTATCATAGAAAACATTTAAAGTATCAATTACCTAATGATTTGTCAGTGAACTCATTGGTGGGCAAATTGGTATATAGACTATACAACAATATTATACAGTATTAGATAAAAGTTGCATCTTGCTTCAGTGAACTTGTTATGAAATAAAAATAGTTGTTGAAATGTATGAAGATACATAATGAGTACAATTAACATTTAGTAAAACACAATAAACAAAGCCTTTTTAAAATTGGTTCGATCCCAATGAAGAGTTGCCTGAGGGATAGCATATAGAGGCAGGAGGGAAATGGACAGAGGCGTTGGGGAAAGTGGGAGAGGAGCAGGAGGAAGTCAGTGTAGGCCTGAGGTTCATCCACTGCCCAAATTCAAGACACTAGCTGACAGTTTTCTCCTTGGCACTAAATAACTCCTGCAGTAGATGGTTAAGAACCATCTTTGGAAACTGAGATGAAAAAACGAAAATGGGTTCTTGTTTGCATTCTCTTGATGCGTGATCTTAGAGCTTCTGATAGGCTCCTTAGCAAAGTGATTCACTTTGAATCATCACTTTCTCAAATGTTGAATGTTGGCCAAAAATTTCAGTAGGCATTTCCTCCCTATTTCATTCTTCACTTGTGGTAGCATTCTTTTCAAGCCTAATCAGTGCATCAAATGCCTTTATGGTAAAAATTCTTCCAGGAATCGTTCATCAAAGTGTGGTCATCCTATCAGCTCTCCACCTCAGATGCTTTATCATCAGTTAATATGCCTTGAAGGTTGTGGGGACTCCTTGGGTATAAAGGCTACAGTAAAGATGTAGAGAAGCCAAAAGACCGCACAGATATTTGTAACTGAAAGCTCTAGAAGGATATCATCATCTTTAGTCAAAGAAGCCTTGTATGAAGGATTTTCCTTTATGTAGAAGATTTGAACACCATGTAGCCGGCCATGCACTCTTCAGTGTTACCTGAGGGACTGAGGGGTTCTGAAATGATACACCAGCAAAGGCTTCGGTTTCCATCACCCTCACAGTTTCCAGCTAAAAGCAGTATTAGCTTATCTTTGGAAGCATTAAGTCCTAGCATTTTTTTCTTACCTTCTGAAATAAATGTACCAGATGGCATTTGTTTTCAAAAAAAGCTCAGGTTCAAGATTGGAAATTTACTCTGTGATAAAACCACCATCGGGAGATTTGCAGTTCACTGGGGGAGATGCTACAGCCTCACCGAGAGCAGGAGTGCTTCACCTGCAACATTCATAGCGTCAGGCTTTGAATGGTTCTTAAACCTCTCAAACCGTCCAGACTTGCTTTAAAACTGAAATCCTTCACCAAGTCCTCTCTCTCTTCCATCACTTTCCTTCCAGCTGTCCTGAGGTGTTCAAAGCCACCCACTGTACCCACATGTGTTTAGTGGCATCAGGCTGACTAGCCACTCAGGAATTTCACTAGCTTTATAAAAATAACATGGCACACTCAAGAACACCATGAAACTCTGTGGAACCAACATTTTTTACAAATTGTATTTTCACAACCCAATGCAAAATAAAATAACCAAAAAAAGGCAGATACCTGCTTGGCCAAGATTATATCTTTTATATGATCACCTTTCTCAATACACTATCACTTCCAACTTTTTTTTTTCTAATACGGGATTTTGTAGGCCTCTAAAACTCACCTATTTTTTTCGTGGGCTTTTCCATTTCCATAGGAGACATTTTTGCTTAACAAAGTCGGTAAAACGATGTGATAATGCACCACACGTCCAAACAGCACAAGCATCGGGCAGTCAACTAAGACAGCAGTGCATGCAGTGCCCTCTTTCTGTCCAGACACTCACAACTTGAGTGATTTTGCTTCAGACTCCTACATGTTCATTGTTTTTTATTTGGATAACCAATATGAGCTACTGTTTTTTGCAAATCATTATAGTATATATTCACATAGTGGGAGTTGAGATGGACAGACACCTATGTTCTTGTTTGTCCCACAATAACCTTTGGAATTCAGGTGGTGGGACCCTCCACCAGAGAAAGGTTTGAGGCTCAGAGATGCGGCTGTTGTATGTCACCACCGGGAAGTACAAGTGGAGAACTTGACCTGAGAGCTCTTGGTCCTACATTCTGCCTTTATGAGATCTCCACAACTGAAGTGACACCAGCCTAGAAAATCCTGTGAAGACAGAAATACAGCTGCGCTGGGGCTTGTCTGGGTGATGTTAAAGAGGAAGGCTGCCCTCCACTCCAGGCCGAACCAGGTATATGCTGGTATAGCTGGGTAGTGGTACCCCACATCAAGGTTGGGGTGCAGCCTGAGATCCCTCCCACCAGGAACATGCTTGTGCATATGACTTTGCATACGTCTTAAGAAGGCTCACAGGTTCCATGAGGACCATCGGTGAATCCAAGGTTAAGAACCTGGGAGCAGTGTGTGGTTCTTAGCTTCTGATTAGTTTTTCCAAAGATAATTCTATTGAAGGCTAGGTAATGGAGTGAGCCCTCTAGAAGGAACCATTCAAATCTCAGCTCTGCCTCTCAGTGGTCATGTGACCTTAGGCAACTTACTTGCCCTTTATGAGCCTCAATTTTCTTACCACGAAATGGGGCTGATGATGATATTTGCCTCGTGTGCGGTTATGTGGATAAAGGAGAACTCAAAAAGTACCTGACACGGGGCGTTTAGCCCCCCTTCTCAGAAGGAGTGATTGAAACCCACCAAACTGGCAAGAGAAATAGTGTCTATTTATATTCAGAGCTAAATCTGGGTTGAGAACTGAAATGTGTTTGTGGAAGGTAAGCCCATCTGAAAACAATCACAGGCACTGTTTGTTCACAGAAAGTGGAGAGAGATGAGAGGACGTTTGGAGAGGGTGTCCTATGTGCTGAGGGGCTGTTTTGTCGTTGGGGTGAGCCAATTTACCTTTATCCTGCCTTCCGAAGAACCTGCATCCAGAATCAGGAAGTCACCTTTGGGAGGTGCTGGACTCGCCCAGGGAGCAGCGGGCACCATTAAGTGGTTCTGTAACCACAGACCTGCGGCAACCTTTAGAGTACCACGTCCTCAGGTTAGAGTCAGTAGCTTACAGTTTCCAGGTTTTTTAAACTATAAGACTCTGGCTTTGGTATTAAGTTTCAGCAATCCCTTGGTCTCTCTGATGGGCCTTAGGTGGATGGTAGGATGGCCAAGAGCTCCTTGGTTTGGAGTTAGATCCACGTTTGCATCCCAGCTCATCCACGTGCAAACTTAACCTCAGTTTCCTCATCTATAAAATGAAGTTAATGTTATTAATGTAAACATACAGTGGAATGCTGTTCAGCCACAAAAAGAAATGAAGTACTGATGTGTTACAACATGGATGAACCTCGAAAACATGCGAAGTGAAAGAATTCAGACACAAAGGTTACATGTTGTTTGATTCCAATGATATACCCCAAATAGGTAAATCTAAAGAGAGAGAACACGCATCACTGGTTACCAGGGACAGGGGAGGGAGGACTCAGGAGTAACTGCTTAGTGGGTGCAGAGTCACCTTACAGGGTGATGAAATGTTTTTGAACTAGATAGAGCTGGTGGTTGCACAACATTGTACTAAATGCCATTGAATTTTTCGCTTTAAAATAGGTTTATGTAATATGAATCTCACCTTAATTTTAAAAAGTAAAAATAATAATGTTATCAGCCCCAGAGGGCTGCTGCAGGGTTACGTGGGTTGGTCCTCCCAAGGTGCTTGTTAGTACAGTGCCTGGCTCATAATGTACTTTCAGTAATTTGCAGCTATGATGATTCATTTTCCGAGGCAGGAGGGAGCACTCGTGGCCTAAGAATCACAGTTACCTGTCATCTATGAAGGCAGTTACTTGTGCAGTCAATTATTGTATGTCGATTCTCAGCGTCAGTTTTAAACCCGAGCTAATGTTTTCTGACCTCATCCCCAAACTGTAAGGGGAAATGGCGACATCTGTGCCTTTACTGTCCTGAGTTCTCTCATAAAGAGATTTACTTCTCTAAAGTAACTGATTCATAGGTAACACTTGGCAGGGATTAAAGCAACGTGAATGGGAGTTGGTTTTGGGCAGGTTTACCAGGCTGGTGTCAGTTAGGCTGCCCGATGACTTTGAGCATAGTATACTAGTCTGAAAATTCCTCGTTACTTATTGAATAGTTTTTATTTTGTCTGAATTATTTTGCCTTTATTGTTAAAGCATTTTCATTTTCTCTTTTAAAAAAGTAACTATTTACTTGAATGTGGGTCTTAACTTAGTTTTTCCCTTGTGGGGGAGTACTTGGGTTAAAAAGAAATGAAATGCCTCTCCACCACCCTCCCTCCATTTATGATTTTACCAAGTGAATTGAATTTTTAAAAATCAGATTACAGACTCAAATAATTATCCCATAAATGTTAACTTCCTCAAAACTGTAACTGAGGCCCATTTCTAAAATTGAGAGATTTAAACCATCAGTTTATCGTCATTCTTTGCTTTTTAATATATATGCTAAAAAAATTTAGTCTTTTTACCATTTTGTGAAATATAGGGATGCCTCAATTAGGAATATACATGAAAAAGCACATTTGTAAAATTGTTAAACTACAAGGTGGTATTTTTTTATTTCAAAGCAGTTCATTCTAATTTTTTTTAAGTGAAAGGTTTTAAGCATTTAAAAAATTTTAGAACCTTTACATCTTTAGAAATAACATGGCAAAGGTAAATAACTCTTCTTAACTTTTAAATGGAACATTCTGATAGAGTACAAACAGTGGAATCAGGAAAACCAGGGTCCACATTTTAAGTCTACACTAGGAAACAGGGACAATCTTGGGAACATTGCCTAATCACGGAGCCTCAGTTTCCTGAGCTGTGAAATGGGGATAATTACTACCTCCTGAGTTTGTTTGCAGACTAAATGAGATGTCATATGAAAAGGTCTGGCACATGGTATGTCTCTCCTTTTTTCCCTTTCAGATAAACCAAGAGTTGTAAGCATTGGCATAATTATTTTCTCTAGGGATCATAAAGCCTAGTTTATGCCCTGGTAGTTAACACTGTGGAGAAAGAGGTGATAGAAAAATAGTTTGAGGTAAAGTCATGAGGACAGCTCTGGAGATCAGGGGAGATAATGCCATAAGCACCTCCTGTACAAAGGGAGCTAGCTACTCCATTGTGGGGTGTGGTTTTTTTAATAATGTTTAT